ATTGCATTTGGCATATAATGGCCAATTTGCCATCATCCTGGTTTCACTGAACTTGGACGTCAGCTTCGTATGTTCCAAATGAAGATGGTCACATTTGCACGGCTGGCTAGAAAACGTAGACGTAATCCGGGTTTTTATGGCATTCCCGCATATACACCCTACTTAATGGATTGTACGGCACCCATATTTATTGGGCGTTACAGTATTTCTCAAAATTGTGGATGTAGGAGCACAATGAAGTCGGAATTCACAGACTGTGACCCCAAATGATGCAGCAAAAAGTAAACGATAATTAGATCGAATTTAAGCCAATCAGAATTGAGTCGGATGAGATGTCCGACTTTATTCGATCACAACACAACGAACAAGAAAGTCAGGACAAACAGTCCGACGATCACTTGGTTCCTGTATATCCTATCCGACTTTTTTTCACTAATGTTGTTTGTGGATGTGTAATGGCTCGTTCGGTGCAAAGTGCCCATGCAGTTGAATTCTGGCGCACCACCACGGCGGCTATTTGTACCATGGAAGCGACACAAACAACTTACTACTCCTTTCCGACTGTGTGTTCGTGGGGTTAAATAATAGCTTGGATACCTAGTGGAAGTCGTTCGCGCAGCTAGGAAGCGTGGTCCGCCGTCTTTTGCGTCTGTATTCGCACATGCGTGGACGCTCGTTTCTTGTCGGCCATGGACGGGGGCGGCGTCGGCATTTTCTTGGGGCTTGCAGGCTGCTGCTGCTGCTGTCGATAAGCCAGCTTATGCACCACGTGTTGCGTGGCTCGAGTGTCCATGGCCAGTTCCCGCAGCTCGCGCTTGAGTTTCTTCAACTCCACCACTTGGAGTCGAAGTTGCTTTTCCTTGTCGAGGAGTTGGGCTTGGAATGCCTCCATCTCTCGCTTGCACTCGTCCAGCTGTTCCTGGCACGTTTGAATCACGCGGTCGTACTTGTCTTTATCCGTGCGTTTGCTCTACATACCCATCCAACAACGACGTTAGATAGCAGCATGAACGCTCGCCATACTACCTTTTCCAACAGCGCGACGCGGACCTGCAGTTGTGCCACGTCATCGTCGTCGTCGTCGTGGCCAGGCTGGCCCTAGTACACTCAAAGAAGCGAGGAGTGTCAGATTCATGAATATACCTCGTGGTGTACCGCGTCTGCATTCAGTTGGCTGCCGTGGTGGGATCGGATTTTGTCAGCTAGAGCTTTATTTTTGGCCGTGAGGTCCACCACCTGCTGGTGCAACTTGTTGGATCGGTCGTCCGCTAGCTTTTCGCGTTCCTTGTACATGCGGTACGTTTCCTTGCAAATGCGCAGCTCTTCCATCACCGAGTGGTGCTTGGATGGGAAGTGCTCCTTGAGCGCCTCCAGCTCCTCAATGCGCTTGGCTTGTGTCCGCTGGAGGTTGGCCAGGTACTTGTTTTCGTGCGAGAGCTGTTCGATCAGGAGCTGCTTTTCCCTCGCCTTGTTCTCCACCTACAACACAATACACATACATACAAGTCATTATCGTTTGATCGTGTATGTATGTATAACCTTGTTTACCTGGGCCATACAGTCGTTGTTATGGAAACCCTCCAACTCTTTCTGCAGCGCGGCGTTGGCCTTTCGATACACATTGATGCGCTTGTGCAGATTCCGCAGTTCCAGTTCTTTGGCCGCAAGGGTTTTGCGGTGGTGGTCGTCGATGGCCGCTTGCCGCTTGGACGGCGACGGGTTGTTCATGAGCGCGTCGTCCATCTCGCTCGAATGTTGCTGCTCCTTGTGGGCGTCCTCTGTACCCATAGACGTTATACCCGGTACATTGCTGCAACGTTGGCATACCGTCGTCGTCGCGGCCACCTCCTTCGCCTTTGAGGACACGGCTTGCTTCCCTTCCCTCATGCTACACACCAACCCACCCGCCCATCAAATCCAACTGCATCCACACAACCAACTACCCACGTCATCTGGTAAAAACTCGTCGTCCTTGTACTCGACGTCTTCGGCAGCTTCGTCCATGGTCGAAGTAGTTCGAGTGGAATGCGAAACCGCTTCGTCCCAACGACGACGGTTACAGTTTCCGCCGTTTCCACGTAACCGAACACATCAACACTCCTTTGCCCGCATTGTGATCCTGCGATACAGTTCCACCTGGCAGTATGTTGACTGGATAGATATCAAAAGTAAGCTAACACTACTACGTAGAGCGTTCATTCACCATGCATGCTCAATGGTCAACGCGAAAGGAATAATATTATTGTGAAATTTCGTGTTTCTCGTTGGAATTTAAATCGATTTGATTGGCTACTTCAGGATGAGCTCAAAATTATTAGCCAATCAAAACCCATTTCTCAATGTAATTCAACCAATCAGATCGATTGTGGATCAGGTTTGGTCGGCGACAATAATATATACAAGGACAGTTTTTTTATAGTAGTACTCCATGTTGGTAGCGGTTATATAAAGGTAGCGACGACGACGCAACGTCAATGGGAGTGGCAACCACTGCAGTGTCCCATCTTCGGTGAAGGCAGCACAGACACACACGTAGCTGCGATACGGTATATCACATATCGAGGCGGCCGTCTTCTTACTCGTCGGTGAACCCTGTCACTTCCATGTTGATCACAAGCGACATGACGTCTTCCACTTCCTTCTTGGTCTTGTACTTGGGCAAGTCGATGCGGTTAAAGCACGTATGCGCGCGGGGAAATGCATTCTCAGGGTACGGCACGGCCTTGAGTGTAAAGTGGCATATCCGTCCGTCGTAGCTCGTCAGGGCCTTGAACCCTTGGACAGGCACGCGGGAAGACCCTGCCCCAGCCAGTCAGACAACCAAAACTACCACTTTTGAGCCAACCTGTCGTAAACTGCAGCAGACGCGCCCGCTCCTCGTCGGAAAACCCCTCGACGACCTCCCAGAACCACACGAGCAGGTCCGCCGGCATGTCGTCCGAGCTCTGCGTGTGCAGTTTCCAGTCAGCAAAGTCGATCGACGGCACTCCGCACAGCACAAGTTCGAGCTCTTGGTAGTCAAATACCAATATCAACTCTTGCGGAATCACCTACCAAGTACACATAGATAGATATATATACACATTCACGACGACAATATGTAACAGACAGTACTTCAAAGACACCAGCCATCAAGTGCTGCAGCTGCTCGGAGAAACTCTCGAGCATGATGTAGCGCAGCCGCAGGTAAATGTACTCGAGCTTGTTGGCGTCCGTGACTTCAATATGGCGGCCATTTTCTTTCAAGTCGATCACTTCGATGTCGCCGCTGATCCGGCGGTTGGTCACGCTAAAGTCGAGGCACAGCGCGTCGACGCCTTCGTTGTCCTTCATCCACTTCATGGACCGGTACACTTCGTGGTCGACAAACTCCAAGTCGGCAAACGAGATGGGCACGCTATACATCCGTCAAGCTCAACATGGCAAAACCAGACGATGAGGTCGTTGTACCCAAGAAGGTGCTTGAGCACTGGCAAAGCCAAGTGCGCTTTCATGAGCTGGCCTTCCAGTAACGCCCGCCCCAGAAGCCGCCCCGCCCCCCGAAAGTACAGCAGATGGTCCGCACTCGCTTCGACGCTGTTGGGGTTGATTACGTACGCCAATGACTCAACGTGGGCACACATAAACAGCCCAATGGTCTCGTCAAACAGCTTTTCTGTCACGAGCGCAAACCTACAATATTGTAAATAGTGTAAGTCGACCAATCCAAACCCAGAATACTGTTTACGTGGCCAATCAAAATCCTGCCACCAAGTGACACTTTAATTAGTGTGAAAAACGGCATCACTGTATCAGCCGAATGTGATGCATTATTGTGGTCTTGCCATCCTTGTCAGCCATATCCCAGTCAGAGGACGACATAGAGCCAGCAGCCATGAGGAAAGTCAGTCATATCTTGAACGGCATCGCATAAAACACATACGATCACAACACGACGTACGGTATCCCATGGATCCATGTCACACATTTCAAGCCACATGCACAAGTTCAACAGACATTGACAACATATAGAGGGGGGGATACCATTCTCGTTCGAGTCCGCCGGCGTCGATCGCGACTTCGCCGATAAACTCGATGCGCAGGGGCATGTGGATGTGCTCCATCTGCACGCCGAGCAGCTGCTCCATGGACTCGACGAGGATGTTCTCGCGATGTACGCGCATCTTCAAGTGGCCGTCCTCCCACGGCCGAATCAACGACGTCGTCTGTTCGAGGAACCACGAGTACTTGTCTTTGAAAGGCAGCGCAGCAACTTGCTCTAGAATCTCCAAGTCTTGCTCGGAGATCTCGTACCCGCGCGACGCCACGGCCGCGTCCACTTCGCGGTACTCCTTGAACGTCATGCGTCCTTCGGGGTGTCGAGGGGTTTGTGCCAGTTGCGACACGAACGCCAGCGAATGCTGCCGCGCCAGGTCCAAGTGGACTGTCCCCGCAGCAGCAGCAGCAGATGACGGTGGCAACGGAGCTGACGGTGCTTTCGGCGTCCCGCCAGCTTCCATCGCCACGGGGTCCTTGGCCAAGAATGTGTCCACCACGTCGCGACGACCCCAATGCCGCTTGCCGTCGGTGCCCACCTTGCGCACCCAATCGCCGCGGTTCCGCGCGCCGCGTTGGCGGGAGTTGAGCATGTTCAGGCGTCGGATCGCAAACGACCGCGTGCGATTGAACGACCCGCCGCCAGAACTCAACGCGCCGAGCGCCGAGTCCTTGATGGAGAGGCTGCGGCGAGGGGACGGCGACGCGAGCCCGAGCTTGAACCCTTTGTCCGTGCCGCACAACACACACGACTTGGCGGACATTTTGTTGTGGAAGTCACAGACTTCGCACTTCCATTGCCCGTCGATCTCTTCCTTGCTAGAGTACATGGGGAAGTTCAATCACTTGAGACGAACATGAGACACGGCGATCGCACCTTTCTTGCACGTCTTGACGGGTCAATGGTTGCCCGTCTTCCGTGTATTGCCTACCGAGACGACCCTCGTGAGTCAACCGTGTCGACAACGACGCTGCATTTGATGCTTGACTTCATCTCCTAGTCGAGCCCGACAACACACGGTGGAACTACACGTACCCGCCGAGTAACGGTTGCTGAAGCGACTCGTCGAAGCCCGCTTTGCGACAGCAATAGTACAGGACGATCAACACGAGGACGCCGCCTGTGACCCAGGCGACCCATGGCGGTAAGCCTGCGCCGGACAGGTCACTCGCGGCGTCGACGAGCGCAGGTGCCGTCAAGAGCAGAAAGCTCAGCTTCCACACCATTTGATCGAGTGTCAGCATGGTTGGGAAGGCCTGTTACTGTACTTGGCGACGGTGGTTCCGAACTTGGAATCCGATTATGAGGCGTTATATTATGTCAGAGTATATAAAATTCAAGTGAATCTTTGGAGATCCAGCGGAAATGATAATATAATTCAAGTGTATTCACTATTCGTACTGTGCATTACAAACTCAAACGACATGTGGCCAACCTACCTACATGCATCCTGATGGGCTGGGTCACGAGACTCAAGTGCTGTCGATGCATATGTGCTCACGTGAAGGCCAGATACAGTAGCGCCAGCACACAAGTATAACTATGTACGCCAAACCCCCCACGAATGTCGCACTTGGACGATGCGACGCTGAAGTTGACTGAACCGTCGCGCGAAACTGAAACGTAGGTCTGCCGTTTTGATAATCCGACGGACAGCCACCACTCGTTCATGGCAGACCGACCCCCACTACCTACCCGGGTATGTACATACAGCGAACGCGTGTCCTCAGTATGTAGACACATGGTGTCGTGTACTCGCTCGACAACACACCGACAAGAAAGCTCCCATGGTTGGTTTTCCCCCACATGCTTTATATAGGTACTAGTATCCCTTTTGCCCATGACAGACACCAACCATATTGCATGTAATTAGTACTGATTGATGCATGAGACATGTGCCATGCCACGTGAAGGACTTGCGCTGTTTCCATCGCACACATGCGCTTGAAGTGTAGACGGTCCAACCTTGCCAAGCTAAACGTGCGGTGGTACTAGGAGGTGGGCATCATAACACGTCAGGTCTTGTACCCACGATTCGTTGTAGCTGTGGCCCAAAAGCTGTCGAAACTAAGTATTTACATCAGTGATTTACATGATCATCCATGTTGAACATGTCTCGCTAGATGCGTAATGGGCGTAGCCAGTTACATACCTTGGCAATATGGGCTTTCGACAGCAGCGACGGGTTGTCTCGGGCACGGATAGACGACAGTACTTCTGCTTCGCCCATGCTGCCTACGACCATGGTAGTCACCACGTTGTGGTGTTCCTTCTGGGCGTCGAGTGCGTATTGGATGGCGAGGCCTTCGACGCTCGGCTTCTGCTGCTCAGTCGCAAACTCCACTGACGCCAGCCACGTCAACGCGGCAGCACAGGACGCGCGCAATGCCGACGAAGCCGGGTGCCATGCAGGCGGCCCGCGGGACGTCAGCAGACCCATGGACAGCGGCGCGGCGTTGATCACAACGATTCCTGGAAGCACATAATGCTTCAGGAGGACTCTTCGATGGATGGGGGAAACTGTATTACCTTTAGCATGCCACGACGCTGCTTTGGTCAGAAGCGCGTCGTTCTGCAGCGTCAAATGCGAGTAGCTTTGCACGACTTGAAGCGGTCGGGGCGATCGCTGGACAATGTCGTCCAGCACCTACAGACACAACGGTGATGATGTGAGGAAGTAGACGAACGTGATGATGGGTACGTCGAGGGGATAGCCGCAAATGCCAATCAACTTGATCACGCCTTCGGCTTGCAGTTCGGCCAACGCGGGAATCGCCTCGTGCAGCACCGTGTCCCGGTCCACAAACTCGACGTCGTGCAGGTACACCACGTCCAGGTAAGTCGTCCTAGGAGAACATGAATCATCGTCCTCAGATGCATATATAGGATGAGCTTACCCAAGCTTGGCCAGCGAATCTTGCACGCTTTGGCGAATGCGGCTGCGAGAATAGTCAAATTCTCCATTCGGGTGCTTGTCGCTGCGATAGCGCCCGACTTTGGTCGCCAAGTAATACTCGTGCCGCGGTGTCTGGACACGACGCAGGGCTTGGCCGACTACGTCCTCGGCGTTGTTGTACCATGGAGCTGTGTCAATAAGTCGGACGCCGCGGGGGAATGCTGTCTCGAATGTTTCCACGGCAATGGTCACTGCTTCTCCAGGTAGGTCTTGGTAGAGTCCGCCCAGTCCAACGCTTCCCAGCGCGACTCCATTCACACCAGTGCGGAACGCTTGAACGTCGGTCGAAGTCGGCATGTCAAAATTGCAAGTCCTTTCTTGTATTTTTCTAGAATATTTAAATTTTATATTGAATCACTTGGGTTGAGTATACGCGCGGACTTTCTACAGCCGTCCGATTGTCGATATACAAATGGCAAGTGTAGAATATACGGAAAATAAAGGTGATATCCGGATGAGCTAGCCGACGGCATAAGCTCCGTTCGGAAAATCAATTGGCCGGAATTTAGTCCATTCGGATGAGCAGAGCCAGCATCATCGACGGGAATAGCGCCAACCCCACCACGAGATCCATGGGACCGCCGCACGCTCGTGCCACCGGCCATGTTCCTGCTGCATACAGCTCGAAGCCATGCTCGTCCATATCGAGTAAGAGCTCCAGAAACGTCCAGCCGTCGGCGACGGCGCTGAAGGAGTTTCGAAAGGTCCGTCGTACATATATTTACCCGCCTCGTGCATGTGAGTCTCACGCTCGTCGCCCGTCGTTCACATGTGTAGCGGTGGACGATCTTGTCGGAAACCGAGCGCATGCAGTGCTTGCGTGGCACCGGAGTGCAGTTTTTCGCGACTGTGGCGGAATTGGTCCCGTGTCTCGCATGTCGAAGCGGCGCGGAAAGCCTCTTCCTCCGCGCCACAACGACGCTACCGCTGCTTTGTGGGTCGCTAAACCCGACCAACATGCTGAATTCGTGCATCCAGCTAAACGAGAACGGTGCGATACTGTTCCACACCGACCAGAGCTTTGTGCTGCATCCGTCGTACTTGCAGGCGGCGGACGCGACGCTCGCGCTGTTTCTGTCGCACGAAGTGTCGCATGTGGTCCAGGCGAGTGGTGGCCACCACGCAGGGGGATCGTCCAAGCACAGCCAGAAGCACCAGCACAAACTCCAGCAACAACAACAGCAACTTTTGCAGCAACAGCAGCATTTGCAGCTCCAGCAGCAGGCCGCGCTCGCCGCCGCCACCACGACTTCCTCGTCGCATCACCACCATCACCACCCGATGATGCCGCCGCAGTTCCATCAACTGACCAAGCACAACACGACGTTGAAGGTCAAGTCGACCACGTTCAACTACGAAACCACGATGAAGCTTCAGATGCACTCGGGCTCGGTCCCCGGTGTTAACGGCACGACGTCGTCCTCCATGCTCACGACCACCACCACGCACCACGGCGGCACTTCGTCCACCACATCGTCCACGCATCACCACGCGCCATCCGCTTCGTCCATGACGAGCATGCAGGCAGCGGCCATGCAAAGTGCGCTGAGCCAAGGCGCCGGCTTGGGCTTGCTAGGCGGCGGCAGTGGGGGTCCGACCATCTCCCCCATGCCCCCGGGGGGCCCCGGCGGGTTGGACCTGGGGGGGCTGGGCAGCCTCACGCTGGGGCTGGGGCTGTCGAGTCTGAGCCTCGGGCTCGGTATGAACTTTGCCAAGTCGGGAAGTAGCACCGGGAAGCGGTGCTCTCTGCACTCGGCCAAGCTCAAGACGCACCCGCGGCCGACGGCGTTTACAAGTTTGTGGGATAAAATGTCAGGCGACTACCAGATGGACATCACACAAATCGACTCGGACCAGTTTCTCAACGACCTCGAGTGTTACCTCCGACGGCATCGATTCTGCTGTCGATGCAAGGAAAAGGTGCTCGAAGCGTACGATTTGCTCGTGGGGTCAGGGTGCAGCGAGAGCGACTGTGAGGATTGTGCGGGGCTGCACTGCTTTTCCGACAAGAGTTCACAGGATGACGGCGGCATCGCTGGCGGGGGGGCGGCCGACGCGCACGCCGAGCACCTCTCTGCCACGAGCTCCAACGACGTTGACGACGACGACGACGACGACGACGACGACCGGTCTGCGTTTCTGTTTGACGAACTCACGTTCTGCCGCGACACGAACCAAATTGTCTTGCCGTGCAATTTGGAGTACTTGCTGCAGCTGATGGACCGCGCCGACCAGGAAGTGGTGATGGACAGGCATGCGCGGACGCTGGCGGAGGCGCAGGACGAGGTGCTGACGTGTCTGGGGCTGGTGGTGTGGGACAAGCTGCAGATGATGTGGTCCAAGATCCAGTGCGAGGAGAGGTCGGCGGACCTGCTCTTGTACTGTTCGATCGCGACGATCAAGCACAACTTTGACGTGGCGGTGGAAGCCTTGCATGGCGAAGAGATCATGGAGCAGCTGCTGGCGGAAGAGGCCGAGGACGAGATGCGCACGGTGCGCAAGAAGGAGAAGCGAAAGGAGAAAAAGAAAAAGAAGAAACAGCAGCAGGCCAAGTCAAAGGTGAACGATGGAGATGACGAAGAAGACGAGCATATCCCGGACAAGGAGCGCCAGCTGCTGTCGTCCATGGGGTGGGAGCACGCAGACCCCGTGGACGGCGACGACAGCGAAGACAACGCGATCCCTGAAGACGACCTCGTGTTTTGGAAGAACAACTCGCACAACCTCGAGTCCAAGCGCCTGGCTCAACGACAGAAGCTCCAGGAAAAGTTCCAAGCGCTGCTCCGGCGCAACAACCCATGATGGCACCACTATCACTAGTTTGAACATCTACGTCCAATCCGTAATACATGTGAGCACTTGGCCATAAACACGGTGAAGGGGTTGTTTGGTTGTTTCCTCATGTTACTGGATCGGCGCTGGGGGGGTGTTCTGTGTAACTACGTGATCCAAAACCAACCTCCCACGGGTTTGCACGCCTGGGAAACACTGTCTCGAACGTCATCACGTTCCTGCGTTTGTGTTTGTAAATATGTATATCGTTATGAGCAAGCATACAGTAGTACATTCAAGCTCTACATTAGTGGACGTTTACGTAGTATGGTGCACTTCATCTAAAAACTTTCATCTAAAAACTTCCAATTGGTCAAATTGAAGAGTGGAGGTTTTATTATTTAACGTGCAATTAATGTAGTTAAACCCAAAATCCAGATACGTTAAATACCAATTGCATGCGTTTTATCACCGGAGTGGGAGGTTAAAGGTCCCAACTGCTGCCTCCGGATATTAAATACGGATAAGAGTCACATACAAAAATCAAGATACACTTGAGCGGCCACCCCTATGGCCAAATATCCAAGCGCCTATGTAAAATACCGCTAGGTTAAATATCTATTTCTGGACCAATTCATCACAAAATTTGAATCTGAGACGTAGAATTTCTTCACCACATTGAGATCTGTCGATTATACGTCTCAATTTGCTGCAATTTTGAGTAATGAATATGAAATAGAAGTCAGAAAATTTTGTGAAAAGTTGGTAGTTTATAGATGACGTGCACCATAGGTGTTGTGAATAGTTCTACCGGTACTACAACTACTATTAATACGTAGTATAATACTACTATGTATTAATAGTAGGTGTAACTATCTATTACTTTGAAGTACAGATAACGACGGAATAAGTGGCCCCGTGGTACTAAAATTTCGTATTGATTTAAGTATTCTACTTTCGAAGTAGTTTGTCCCAATACAAATTTGAAGTGCTATTTCGAAGTACCACAGGGCCACTTATTCGGTCGTTATCTGTACTACCGTATACCCCCCGCTTCAGTACCTATGATTTCTCCGGTTGGACCTGTACCGGTTTGGCCAATGACGAACATTTTCATATACCTAATTGTCTCTAATTGGACAGAAATATCCAATCACCATGCGTTAACTATTTTCATCCAATGAAATATAAATCGTGTGATGGATTTAGACCAATGCGCATGCCTGAATAGTTTTCAAGGTACCGCTTGGAGCTGTACCAGTTGTGATGAGATTTCACTGACATTTTCATAGGTAGTGAAGCGGGGGTATACGGTAGTAATAGTAATGCAAAGTTCTACTATTAATATTAGTAGGTGTAACTATCTATTAATAGTAATGCAAAGTTCTATTAATATTAATACTATACTTCGTTATTACTGTTAAAAAAGCAAACAAACAAGATTATAATCTTTTTTTCAAATTATTTTTCCCTTTTGAGCAATTTCAATGAGTTCGTTTGATTAGTCATCGAGATCGAATGTCAAAGTAGATAGACCAATCAGATTTACAGCACTAGAATTTACATCGTTCACAGTGCAAGTTTTCCGTCAAGTCGACGCAACTGCCAATGTGTAACTGCCTGTTTGGAACTGCTGTCGGTTATTTCACAGTGCAAAGTCGGGTTTCCGATACTGACGACAAACATGACGGCAGCAGCAGACGGATCGTCGTCCGACATGGATGCGTACTTGAGAGGGCGCATCAAGGGTGCTTTCGACATGTTCGACAAGGATCGCAAGGGATGCGTGATTCAGGAGTACTGAACCACATGCGCCGCAGTTCCATTGTACCGACAGGAAGAAGGCTGACGTGTGACGTCGTAGGGAAGTGAGCACGATCATGCGGTACTTGGGGGCGTATCCGAGTGAGAAAGACATCATCAAGAAGATTCTGCCCGAAGTAACTTACTTATGCCTTATTCAACGGTCATATCAATGCTCATGAAAGCGGGTTCTAGATGCAAGAGGACGAGCCGTCCACATTTGTCACGTACGACCGATTTGAGAAGAAAATGCTCGAAGTGCTGTACAGCCACGAGTACGAGCCAGACACGGACGAAACGTTGCTGGTCGCGTTTCGGGTATTGTTGCAGCAACGTATGTGTGTTGGTTTCCAGTATTACCTGTAGGTGCTGGATCCTGAAAAGAAGGGGTATATTGACGCGGACGTGATGAAGGATTTGCTCGTCACCAAGGGCACGCCATTCCGCGAAAAGGAGCTCGAAGGTATATTATTAGTACATGTCATATTCCAATGCGTACGCAGTAGCCTCAGGCACTCTGTAGGGTTTATGCATGTTGCCAAGGATGGCGAAACCGGGCGTGTGTACTACGAAGACTACATCTCACTGCTCACCCACGACGTTGACGATGCAAATAACAAGTAAATCCAACAACACGGGTTTGTGTTGGGGACGAGATAACGTTAAATATACTGTCTGGTCCAGTTGTCACAGGGCGACTGTCACGCGCTTGACGTGACTGCGCCCTGCTTGGCAGTGGCCCGTTGTCCTCTGGTACTCATGGTGATGCCTTGACGTGGTTTCCAACACGTCTGGTTGCGTTTGCTTCTTTGTCAAGTCAATCTTGACTCGTGCGACGGAGGGCACTGCAGCTGTGTGGCATTGCGTTTGTCCTGATGTTGAGGTTCTAAAGTTGACAGGTTGACGAGGCGCCACCTTGACCGTTCCAACGTCCTTCGTGACAGTCGTAACTGGTCGTGGTGGTGGCACCCCCGCGGGGGGCTTGACGTTAGCCGTATCCCGCGTGCGATAGCTTAAGCTAAGCTTGTCGTTGATGGCCTTTTCCGCAGTCTCGTGCAAGTACAACCTGGATTCCCCCCGTCCAAAGCCCTTGTCGTGGCCGTGTTCGTCGAACTTTAGCGCTATCGTGTAGTCCTGGATCGCGCGGGAGAATTCGCCTTCCGTGTTGTAGCACCCCGCGCTACAATAACATGATTGAGCATACAACCCAAACACATCTCAAGGACGACATAGGGCACGGGTATGTACTGTATACCGAGCATATCTGGCCATGACGTGGTTGGGGTTCATGGTCAGCACGCACGTAAAGTCTGCATGGGCTCGCTCGATGCGCCCCCCTTTGAACAAGGCCATCCCCCGACTGCAACAACGTTCGTTAGCAACCCCCACACGAACAATCCGAGCACCAACCTGAAACGACCGTAAATATCGTCGTGTCGGACTTCCAAAATGGCGGTAAAGTCCTCGGCTGCGATATCCCATTTCTATGATGGGCGTTGTACTTTTCACGATGCTGGCTTGGTTGAAAGTGGTGACACATGCGTGTTACCTTGGCTTTCATGCAGGCGTGGCCTCGAATGGCTCGTGATCGAAGGCACGACGGGTCCTTTTGTAGCAACCAAGTGCATTCGTCAATCAGCCGAGTGATCTCCGCTTCCTTGGAGCTGCCGCTTCTGTTGCTCGTTGGCATTGTCAAGTGGTCGATGACACCATGAGCGCGTTTCTTGCATGTGTGGCTAATTTTAGATATCCAAGCATGATTGGCCTCGCTAGGAACGACACCAGCAATGCAGTCAACATACCGCCCATTTTGCGGCTGACGTTAAAAATGTAACAGTGAATTCAGAGATGCAACAATAATTGTTGTCTTGACGACAAAATTAAGTGGCCTCATTGCGATCCAATAATCCTACATGTGAAGGTGCTTCATACAAGTACTATTTATAATACTAGTAACTACTATTACTACGTAGTAGTTAGTATTGGTACTAAATTTCTTGCCATGACTGATATCGAGATACACTTGAAAATGCAATACCATAACAGTACTGTATGTTTACTCCATACAGTAACATTCATAACGTTAGGAGTGGTCCGCTCTTGCCCGAACACTTCAATCAGCTCTTTGTAGTTGAAGTTGTATGGGAAAAATAATTTTATTCCAAACATTCGAAAACCCCACTCATTTCTTTTAACAACCGTCCAAAATAAAGCGTGTTGTGGATACTATGCAGTTGTGATTTAAAATAGTATTCGTGAACTGAACTTTCGATTTGTATGAAACATTGATTTCCCATATTTCGGGATGAGACTGCACAAAACGAGAATGTCCTCCACATTGCAAATTCCACCAGACGCGGCACCACCATCACAGCCCTCTCGCTGCCTTGACATCCACCTCCATGGCAACTTTTGTTGGCCATCGCTCCATTGCCACACTCAATGGGTCCTCCAAGACCAAGTTCATGACGAAGGAGAGTATCCGTAAGAGTCAGGTGATGCCGGCAGGAAGTCCCTGGAGCCACCCCGCGACTACTACGACGACGCCTGTTGGGACACTACTCGTTTCTTTTCGGGACATTGTCGTGCGGTCTGTCGAGCCCGTCGGGGCCTCGAACGCTGCGTTTGTAGAGTACGAGGTGGAATTGGCCAACCAAAAGTCGGGGGTGGTGTGGAGTGTCCGCCAACGCTACTCCAAGTTTCTCGAGATGCAAGACGCGATCGGGGCGACGCTGGAAATCCCACACTGTCTGCAATGCACCGAGCTGCTCGAACAAGTGGAGGAACTGGAGCTGCCTCCGAAGCGATGGGGCCTCGGCAGGATGTGGGGCTCGTCGTCCCCAGAAGCCGACACCAAACTGCGCGCACGCATGTTCTTCGTGTACCTGCACGCGTTGATCGAACTCGGGTCGAGCAAACTGTACAGGCAATGTCCGATTGTGGTGAAGGGGTTCATGAAGGTGGTGCTGGCGTTTCTAACACCTCCGTCGACCCCCATGGAGTTGAAGCCGCTGACCCTGCAGCCTAAACTCAAGGAGGTCGTCCACACCAAGACGGCGGCTACGACGAACAAACCCACGCCTCCTTTCTACAGCAACCACATCGTGTCGCCAAAAGCGGTCGCCGGACGCAGCCGGAACAACGGCCCGCACAAGTTCACGGCGTTGGCCACCATTTTTGAGCAGGAACCCCCCATTGCTTGCTAGCGACTGCTTCGTCGATGCAGTGGCGACACATCATGGTGTGTGTCCGTTGTAGTGGAATGTACTTATATGAATACTATATATTTTGCCCATACATATTGCAGCACACTCGAGAGAGTGTGAATGATGAACACACTTGTAAGTTGAGATTGGTTGCATTACACGTTGCTCGAGATGGGTCTACAGGAGGATAGGTGGGTGGGTGGGGGTGGGGGGGGACTTCACAGTTGGCTACAGTACGTCATGACTGCAGAAGCGACCGTGCGGACGTGGACGACGGCGCGGTCGTGGCTGCTTGGCTGGTGACGCTCAAGAGCCGCGCGATGAGCGCCACCTTTTGACTTTCTGAGCAATCGTGGCGGTGCAATATGGATTGGATCTGGATCTTGATTTCAGGCATCCGGTCAATCACGTACAGCAACGTGGACACGGGGACACCCGTGGAATTTGGAAGCGACGACGCTACACAACAAAACACACAACACCACCATGATTATTACGATCTACAAGATATATATATATAGCATTACAATATTACCAGACTCTGCTCCAGCACGGGTTAAATTCTGATGCAGCACGGACATATCTCCCCACGCCTAAAAAAAGGACCAAATCTTAGTCGTTGTCTTGGCTTTGAAAATACACGAGTAAATGGACTGGAACGTACTGGAGTGGTGTCGGGAGCTACGTGAGACGACGAGGTGGCCGGGAGATCGAGGCTTCCCAAGCCTATTCTACTTTCACGTCGAGTCCACCGTCAACGGTGGATGCTTACCAGACGATTCGGGGAACGACGGCGGGGGGATGGGGGGGCCGCCATTCACGGTGGCTTGGTACGTGGCGAGGAGTTTGCTCTTGTTGATCACTTCGTCGGGGCTGAGCACCGGGGTCGACAAGATCACTGCGTGCGATTCATGGGGGCCCATTGCGGTCGACGGAATTGGCACGGGCGGAGGCGCCACCTTCTTCTTGACGGACGTGAGCACCGCCTCCATACTGCTTCGAAAATGGCGCAGTTCGTGGTCTTGCACCGGTTGTTTCAGGACCCAATTCGTGCGGATGGGCGGCGGGGGAATGCCAAACGTCGTCGGGGGGTACTTGAGCAGCACGCCGCCAGTGTGCAGACCCACGCGGGAGCTCACGGCCGCGGGGGACAGCGCCAGGGGTTTCACTTTCACGGGTTTGTCCTTGTTGGGGGCGAGTAAGCGCTGAAACTTTTCCTGGCATTGGCGCGCCGACCGCCGCTTGACCATGGCTTGCCGCGTGAGGATTTGCGCAATCAAGTTCCAATTCCCGCCGTACACGTCGTGCAGCTTTTTGAGCAGACCTTCTTCCACAAAGCTCCACCCTTCGCGACTGGCTTCGGGTACTTGTTTGCGAGGCCGCTGCAGCAAGTTGGCCGAGGCCGCCGCTGCCGACGTCTTGAGCTTCTTTGTCGGGGCCGGGTCTGGCAACCCTTGTACTTGAATGCCGCCCAGGATGGACGTGTCGTCCCATGACACCGAGTCCAGTGCGTCCAGGTTCGTGTCCCCCCAGAACCCGTCGTCGTCGAACCCTGCAGACGCCTCGGGCAGCGGAAACCCTTCGTAGTCGGTGCTCTTCTTGCCGTCGGCGGCGGTGGATTTGCGTTTCAGCGACTCGTCTGCTGCTTTCCCAGGCACTTTGGATTTCTTGACTTTGATTGGTTTCAGGTCCGACGCCACCTTGAGCTTGTCCGGCACCAACGACGGCGGCTTCCGCGCGCGGTACACAATCGACACGGGCACGTCGTCGCGCGTGTCGTCGAGTACAACGTCGCCAGGCTCGGGGGCGTGCAACTCGTGGACAAGACCCGCGTACATGCCGTCGTCCAACCGCAGGCTTTGCACGACTGCGCGCTTGGATGCTTCGTGTCTGTCGTAGAACAAGCCCCCGGTGGGTTCTTGCTTCCACAGACTCCAATTCCGCTCCGCCACCACAGTCTCAAACGACGACACGCCATCGTCAGGTCCCGCGGTAATCGTCGTGTCAAGCGGGGCGGGTTTGCTGGAGCGCGGGAATTGCTTCTCTTTTAACGATTGCACCAAATGCACGGCGTACCATTCGACTGGCGTCAACTCGTCGCTGTTGGACAGCAGCAAATGCTCTTCAGTGTCGAGCTCGCCGCCCGTAGTGAGAGGCGCTTCCAAGTGGTACCACTCGACGTTTTCCACGTTGCCACAGTACTTTTCCACCAACTCGGCATTCATAAGCGCCTTGGACAGGTCCACGTTGACCGACGACGACCACCACGACGGACACACAGCGTCGTATTTGAACAAGGGCGACGCAATGCATTCGGTGGGGGTCATTTCCCCAAACAATTTCTCCGACACAGTCGAACCCACACGCAGCAGCGACGCTTCGATCGAGTTCTCACAGTACAACCGATACACGGTCACGTCTCCATTCACAGCGAGCAGGTGCCACGCCGCGCGGAGTTTTGCATCGCACATGGGGTCCCAGTCGCTGTCCACCACCACCACCTACAGTCGTGACATTGGCCTTGGATATACACATACAATCGTATATTGTTTCTTCTAAGCTGGACAACAATGAATCGACACAAATGTATATACACAAGAACCATCGGCAGAAAAAGCATTTAGCCAATCAAATTGCAGGAAACAACCATCAGAATTAAATTAGTGTTATGCCTAAATTAGTGTGAATTCAATCTCCACAGGACCAATGATTGCATACAAAATTCAGTGCAGAGAATCGTTCGACCGATCGATCGATTTGGCAAATCAGCGCAAAAGTCAACCAAATTTTGCGAAAAAGGACAATATATATCTTCATCCGTACCGCCTGGGCGCCGTACACACACGCCGCGCGATTGCTTCCAATCGTTCGCGCGCGGCTCGACAGAATGGCCACGCGCACACTGTCCTTGGAGGCAAAATGCGTCAGCGCGCGATGCTGACTCGACGCCGACCCTGTGACCCGAACACACGGAATGTTCAAATGAGTCGTCACGGCGTACTCGACCGCCGGCAGCATCACGTCGCTCTGCACGTAAACCACCACGCGGACCTTGTCTTGATGCACCAGTCGGTCCACCAGTTCCATCATCGCCTTGAGCTTGGCCGAACAGCTTTCCAGCATCGCTCGGTCCACGATGGACAGCCGGTCGAAGTCTTGCAGCACGTCCACGCCGTTGCATGCTGCCCGAAGACGCAGCATGAGCCGGAGCCAGTGGTCGACCGTGTCCTTGTCTGCGGTGGCGTTGAACCCCGTGACAGCATTGTTGTAGTACTTCAACTACAAACACACAAGACATTGGATGGCCACTCTACCCCAAATCCCATATTGTACCTGGGAAGGCGTCATGCAACACGCCACCGTTTGCTCCTCCACCTTGCCCAGCTGCGCTTCCATGTCATTGCGAAGCCGCCCCAACGTAAGCGCCCGCAATGCGATCTGCAGACACGACGACTCGTCCTTGAACGGCATGCCGGCGTGCTTCATCATCCGCTGGACCGACGCCGCCTCGGCCAAGTTCAGGTCGTCCCACTCCACCACGTTCCACGCTTCGTCCTTGAGCATCGTGTGCTTCAATAAAAATTCCCCCCACAGCGCCGTCCGGTCCGATGCCCACTGGTCGAGCGCCATTTCGCACACCACCACGCGGGCAGAGACGTTCCGCAGGCCTGTGTACGCGAGCGGGGTGTCGACGGTCTGGCCCATGTCTTCGATCACGATGGCCTGCCACAGCTGGGGACCAAACACCGCCGCGGCATCTTGGATAAATACAGAGTGGGCTACGATCACACTATACACGGGCTCCGTGTCGATGCTGCTGCTACTCTGCATGTACTCGGCGTCCCATGCGCGGCGATGCCGCAAGCGTTCGACGGACGAGCCGCCGTACAACTGAAGGCGGCGGTGCGGGTGCAGCACTTTGATGTAGTGCACCCACTTGTGCACGTCGGCGTCTGGCACGATAATCAAATGGGGCACCCGATCACCACCGCCACTGCCGTCGTCACCTTGTAGTCGACTCAACGCGTACAGAAACAACGACACCGTGTAAGGCTTGCCCGTGCCCAGCTGATCGTTCAAAAGGATGTTATGGCCGCCTTGATTCAAAGCCACCATGAACTGCAGCGCGTTCCACTGAAACTGCGCCAGCTTCAGGTGCGCATACATGTCGTCCACGGCGCTGTTGGCTTTCATGGCGTCTCGCGCCCGCTTGGACGTGTCCATCAAGTCCACGACCACATCTCGAACTCGAGGGTTTCCCCCCGTGCGCATCCATTCCAACGAAGCCTTACCGTCCAGAGCTCCTACTCGTAAGAGGTGCCGCGGCGACGACGTCGACGGGTGGTCCTTCGCGACAGAAATGTGGCGGTCAAACGACGGCGACGACCGCGTCTGGTATCGCGCGGCGATGCGCTCCATGGCCCGCCAGAACGACGAGATTTGCACCGCCACCTGCCGCGCCAGCTTGCGCTTGTCTTGCTCCGTGGCCTTCTTTTCCGCACTTTTGGCATCGCAGGCATCCCGCGCGAGGCGCCACGCCGCCGCTCGCTTCCAGTGCCGCTCCTCGATAAAGTCCGCGGCCACCCACGCCATTTCTTCCAGCAACATGTCCCAGTGGCACTTGACTCGGAGTGGGTCCTTGAGCCGCGGCAGCTGGCGCTTCTTGCTCGGGGCTTTCTGCAGCTGATGGACTTTCTCCGTGTGCATTCGGAGAACGTCCGTCAGTGCCACCGAGTCGCCCGTGCGTAAGGCAGCGTTCGCCTTGGGAAGTTGTTTGTCGTCCAATGCAAGCAGCGCCTGTTGGCCCAAGTAACGCACGTTGGTCGTGACAACCGGCGGTTGGTACTGCCGGCCTGGGGTTGACGACCGAAGCACTTTCCGAGGGGGCGAGCGTATGACGGAAGACGGGGTTTCGAGCGGCACGGACATGGATGCATCGGCCGGGTGGGAGTTGGTCGTGGTGGTCGTATCCAATGATCGTTTTCGTCGGTGTATATCATTATGGGGTGTCGTGGGTGGGGTCACAGCGTCGCCAACAACTGCATCGGAACTCTCTTCTTGCTCAGCAGTTGTAGTACCTTCGTCGGGTGTCCTTCGATATGTATCTACCGTGTCGTTGGTTCGTATTCGGGATACGCTGTCGTCCTCCATAGACGCTGCTGGTATGACCGGCGGCGCATTCACCTCTTCCACCGTGTCGATATTCTCAACCTCCTCATCTGTATCCATCTCTGGTGCCCGAAGGTCGACATCGACAATGACTCGGCGGCCGCTTCGCGCTGCTACATCCTCGTCCTGTTCCTTCCATGAGTCCACGGCGCAGATATAAAATGTTGTAGTATACCACATCCAATTTCACCGCGGCGCTCTGGTGCTCCAAAAATTGAGCCAATAGATGCTCACGAAACGACAAAAAGTGGTCCAAAAACCTAGCCCTGGAGAGCCCCACGACATCCGCGTCGGGGTCCTGAAAAATATAAGTTATGACAGGTCATGGATTTGACGGAGGGTAGTGACGCGCCCACCTTTGCCGCGGGTTCCATCGAGCTCGTGCCTGGGGAGCGAGGCGAAGACACTTGCTTGCCCATACCTCGGGGGGTCGCTATGACTATCGCTGTCGCTCTTCCTGCCGCCTTGGCTGCCAATTGCCTTCTGGGAGCGGGCAATTTCCAAGGAATATCTCGCAGCCAGAAGCGGTCGGGAATTGATAATACGCCAAGAAGGAGCGAATTTTTTTAGTTTTTATCTTGACAAATGTATGTAATGCTCGCATCGTACAACTCATATTTTAAATCGAGGGGGTATTCCGGATACGTTAGAAGATTGCAGCCAGAGAGATCTTTGGCGATCCGGATAATCTACTTTCCCCCCTCCACAGCCGAGCGTTCGTAATGAAAAACGTACACGCTATATCCTTTTACCCGACATTAAAGGTTCCAGTGTCCTTTAATCCCCCGTTATACCGTTTACCGTCTAGGTAAATGGGCCCCTGAACGTTTCTGAACTTTCCCGCCACGCAGTTTGCATTCAAATTCGGCATGTTTCCATGTGACCGACCCAATCCATTGTCATTAAGTCAATCTATATGTACACTTCTTGGGTTTCCGAGATGGTGTCAAATCCTACTGCCTTGCCTTCCTTCAACGGATCTAAAGGCACTACAGTGGTGCTGCCGCTCACTTGGGCAGGAACGGCCGTCGCGAACAACCGCGCGTTCACCGACACATGTGGACGGGATTTGTCGTCTCCTGTATGCCTCTTGTCTTCGTCTGCTGCCTCTAAGCTCATGCGACCTGCTCAGTTGGTGAAACATTCACATATGAACTGGCAATACCTCGTTGGTTATCATACGACGAAGTGGTCGATGGCAGCCCCATAGACGAGGCCGTGGGCGACAAGTGCAAGGGGGGGTGCTGATACATGTTTATGTGGGGCGCGTCCGACGTCGACGAGTGGCGGCGCAGCGGGCCATCGTACGAGAACGACGATGCTCCGTGGGGGTTGTATTCGGACGGAAACCCGGGAATCGATGGCGCGCCGAATTCCATCATCCCGTGTTGCTGCTGGCGTTGCACAACTGGGTCGTACTCGGAGAAGAAATTGCTATCCACTTTGTCGCCGACGGCCGACAACACGAGCTTTTGGAACTGCTTGCCGCGTTGAAACATGTTTCTGTCGTCGGTCGTGGGCGACGTTGCGACCATGGACTGGGACCGGGGCTTTGTGTCTCGAGCACTGGCCGAACATCCGCCGCCGCCGCCTTTTTTCCGAAGCGACTGCCGCTGCATGCGGCGCATGGTCGAGTAGTATCTGTTCTTGATCGCGTTGTCCGTGCGTCCTGGCAGCATCTTTGAAATTTCTGCCCACTGGTTGCCCACATTTTTATGGCATTCAAAGATCACATAGTCTTCTTCTGCAGTCCACGCATCTTTGCGGACCGCGGGATTCAAATGGTTGTGCCACCTACACCCATACACGACCATGAATGGAGAATATGGATACACTTGTTACAGTACCTCTCGCGGCACTGCTTTCCGACCCGACCGGGCAAATGCATGGCGATCAACGACCATCGCTTGGCCCCGTATTGCTTGACCAACTGCATGAGCTTCTCGTTCTCTTCGCGTGTCCACGGTTTCTTGCTGTTGGCGTCGCCTTTTCCTTTCTTCCCTTCGTCGTCGTCATCGTCGTCGTCGTCGTAGTCGAGCCCTGAATGCAAACGCTGTTCCATCTACCAGCCACCATAAGTCACGAGGAGTATGTACACATGACGCCATCGAACGCACCTCTAGGTCGTCTGGCTCCATTAGCCCGCCCATGTCGTGCGTGGCCATCGGTAGTCGCATGTTGTCCATGCCTTTGTCCGAGATTCCGTGATGTCTTCGTTGGTTCTTCAACTGGAGCCCCATTTGGCCAGGAATAAGCCCGGGGATGTGTGGATGGACCATGGCGTGGGTGTACGGAGACGACTGATGGCCCCCGTGCTGCTGCATCATCGACGACGGCGACAATTGGCTTTGCATTTGACGCTGCATCTGCTCCTGCATTTGTTCGTGCATTTGTCGTTGGATTTGATTCTGCATCTGGCCATGCAAGTCCCCTTGGAGTTGCGCGTGCAAGTGGTTTTGCTGTTGCTGCAATTGAAGTTGATTTTGGAGCTGGTCGTTTAGCAAACCTTGCATTTGTCCATGCTCTTGCATTCGAGTGTCGTGGGAGAGTTGTTCGGATGCGGATGTTTGACCATGCGCTTGGTGATGTGAAGGCACCTTGGCTTGATCTTGTGATGGTAGAGCTTGAAATTGATCCTGCAGTTGTCGTTCGTTCTGCTGCTGCAGTTGCTGTTGTTGCTGGTGCCCTGACACGCTGTACGACTGAGGTTGGCCTTGGCCTTGCATGTCACGGGGACTCAACTGGTTTTGCGTGTACATGTTGCTACCCTTGTCGTTCACGAATAACGATGATTCCAAGCGTTTCCTGTCGTTATGAAGCCGCTGTTACGACGTCGGTTTGAGTGATCGCCCGACGAGGCTTTTTCGTTTCTGGATCGTTTTGAGCTGCCGTCCGGAAAATATCTTTGCTCGAAACGTTTTGTTGGTCTTCGATATTCCTTTGATTGGTGGAAATTTAAGCTGATAGCGCCCTCGGATTGGCCAAGAATTAAACCCTTTCCCTATGACCCCTTCGATTGGTCGACCAAGCCACATTACCTTCTCTTTTTCGAAATTTCATTTTTCATTTGAAGATTGTATGTATGCCATCGATGGAAATGCGCATCGCGCCATCTTGGACGTAATTATATTGAAAACAAACCAATATTAATACAACCATCGAAGTTCAAGATATCGAACAACTAACGGCAGAGAACTCCAGTGCCAGCCATCTCCATGGCTATAGTTGTATTACACCATTGTGGCGATGCAACCAGCACCGTTATGGCTTTACGTCAGTCTGAACATCACTACTTACAACGCTTAAACGTTTCCATGTCGACTGACATAGGTACCAAAGCCAACGCTTAAGCGTTTTTCAGGTACCCTCGTACGACTTCCCAAACAGTTCCGTTGAAACGGTCGATCATGAAACGTTTGTGGGGTAATCTCGTATCCGGCAATTATCCGGAAGTGGAACGGTTCACCAAACCCTAAAGGAAAAACAAGTTTTACTCGAAGTATTTGAAACTTCCATGTTCGATTGGTTGAATCAAAACCTCTGTATTAGTATAATTTATAGATATATAGAGGCTGCGTTGAGCACGAGAAGTTCGAAAACGGCAAATTTCACCGGATTAATTGTCGATTTTCTTCAAATTTCCCAGTTCTCGATGGTTCATTTCCTGGTCAATCGAGCACAAATAGGGCCGAGACATCTGATTGGCCATTATCCACTTCGCCGTTTCAGGTAGAAAATCGAAATGTAGCCAATCAGCGACAAGTAATTTCAGATACGATTCTTGATGCTGATGTTAGGAAATTCGTACCGAATCTCCAATATCCACGGGCAAATCAAAAATAAATGTATGGTAGTAGGACGATTGAAACAATAATCTCTCATTTTCGACAGCGTCGTGGTGGCTTAGCTGTACAAGTCTTCTTCCTCTTCATCCACGGCAGCCGTGGTGCCCCCACCTCCGCCCACCACGTTTCGGCTCGGGAACGAGAACGACGACAACGAGGAACCGCTAGCACCGACCTGGGCACGGGATTGCTGCAATGTTTGGGCAAACGTCGAGTATTGGTGCAAGTCGCGGTCGCTGACTGATCGACGGGCGTTGCGCACGGCATCTTCGAAATGGGCCGATGTAATCTCGGGCACCGGGTCCTCTTCTTCGACTTCCATGTCTTCGGCGGCATCCCCGGCTTCTTCCTTGAGGCGGTCTCGCTCCATATCGCGTTGGATGCTTTCTCGGATGGCCAACTTGGCGGCGCGTTGGCAGATTTCCGTCAAATCGGCGCCAGTGAACTTGTCCGTTTGCGCGGCCAAGTAGTTCAAGTCCACTTCCTTCGACACTGGACTCTTGCGCAGCACGCTCTTCAAGATCGACAGGCGCGACTCCAAATCGGGCATGGGGATGAAAATCAACTGGTCCAAACGACCCGGTCGCATGAGGGCAGGGTCGATAATATCCGGCCGGTTCGTCGCGCCAATGATAAACACATTCTTCTTCGCGCCCATGCCGTCCATTTCCGTCAGCAATTGGTTCATCACGCGGTCGCCGGCGCCGCCGCCGTCGCCCGACGAGCTCCCACGCTGTTGGGCGATCGAATCCAGTTCATCAAAGAACAACACACACGGCGCGGCGGCGCGGGCCTTGTCAAACACTTCGCGGACGTTGGCTTCTGACTCGCCAAACCACATGGTCAAAAGCTCCGGGCCCTTGATCGAGATAAAGTTGGCCTGGCACTCGTTCGCGACGGCCTTCGCGAGCAACGTCTTCCCGCACCCGGGAGGGCCGTAGAACAACACACCTCGGGACGGTGACATGCCGTACTTTTCAAACTTTTCGGGGTGTTCGACGGGGTATTGCACCAATTCGCGCAGCTCACGCTTGACTTGTTCAAGGCCGCCAATGTCCTTCCATGTGGTCGTGGGGACTTCGACGGTCGTTTCGCGCAGCGACGACGGGTTCGACACACCCAGCGCGTACTTGAAGTGTTCTTGGGTCACGGACATCGAGTCCAAAATCTCCGCGTCGATCGACTCGTCTTCAATGTCGATCACGTCCATCTTTTCACGGATGCATTGCAGCGCGGCTTCCGTGCACAACGCGGCCATATCGGCCCCAACAAACCCGTGTGTGTCGCGGGCAATCGACTCTGGGTCCACCGAATCGTCCAGCTTCATGTTGCGCGTGTGGATGCGGAAGATTTCCAAACGGCCGTTCTCGTCGGGGACACCAATGTCAATTTCGCGGTCGAAGCGGCCAAATCGACGCAGGGCGGGGTCCATGCTGTTGGGACGGTTGGTCGCGCCGATCACGACCACGCTCGCGCGTTGCTTCAAGCCATCCATGAGCGTGAGCAGCTGGGACACAATGCGGCGCTCGACTTCGCCGTTCGTCTTGTCGCGCTTGGGGGCAATGGAATCGATTTCGTCGATGAAAATAATCGCCGGCGCGTTCTTTTCCGCTTCTTCAAACGCCTTGCGCAAGTTGCTTTCGGATTCCCCGGCCATCTTGGACATGATTTCCGGTCCGTTGATCAAAAAGAAAAACGCTCCGGTTTCGTTCGCCACCGCACGAGCAATCAGCGTCTTCCCCGATCCGGGAGGGCCGTAGAGCAGCACCCCTCGAGGGGGCTTCACGCCCAACGTCTTGAAGAGCGTCGGGTGGCGCAGTGGCAGTTCGATCATTTCACGGATCTGAGCCATCTGGCGACGGCACCCACCAATGTCGCTGTATCCGGCTTCGTCCAATTTCTCTTCGTCTTCGCGCCGAATGGGTTCGCCTTCGCAGTGAATGATTGTGTCGGGGGCAACAATGCAGTAAGGCGCAGGGTCTGTCTCGACAACCTTGAACTCTACAGGATGCATGGCTTGACGCACCAAGAACAAATCGCCTTTCTTCACTGGGCGGTACGCTTCTAGGAAATACGGCTTCAAGTACACGTCGAACAAGTTGCCCGTGACGCCTTCGATCGTGTCATCAATGGGCAAGACGTGGATGCGCTTGCCGTACGGCACGTCGCCACACGCAGAGATCGTGACCAAATCACCCAAGCGAGCCTTGAGGTTCTTGCGAACCACCTTGTTCATGCGGATGTTGGCGTCGTCACAGCTGTCATCTTGCAACACAATGCAGATGCTTTCGCGACCGAGTTTCCCTTTGATCAACACCGTATCCCCGCGGAAGAGCTGCAATTCTTCCATCTTCGCCATGCTCAGCGCCACGACCGAGTTGTCGTCGTTGCTCGCTTCGTCGACGATCAAGCGGTTAGGAGACCGCTTTCTGTCCATAATGCCTGCGTTAAATTCTTCTTTCCTACAAGAAAACCCATCAGATCCCCATCACGCATGTTCGGAGCTTCCAGGGAGTCCTACTTGGCCATTGTCGCTTCGGAGCCGTCGCGCACTTTCCAAAATGATTCCCACGTTGGGAGGATACAGGGAGAACCTCACGTATGATCGCTGGTTCCGGATACAAACTCCGGATTAACCCAGGTCAAATAAATACTGTTAATTCCACGTAATATCTTGATATTTGTATGGTGACGACACCTGCTGATTTAATTTACGATTTGAGTTGCTTTATTGAAGTGGTGAGTGACCTTCGCAGAAAGATCGGCGACGTTATCCGTATGACGAACCCTCCTGTCGAATCGAAAGTTCCAGATTTTGTGTATCCGGACAGTGCCTGGCATGCTTGAAACTCTGCCACGTATGCCATAACCCACACCACACTAACATGTAGGCCACTAACGTGAAGTGAACTACCTGGCACCGGTAGTAGAACTGGACAGATGATGGATTGTTCAACTATCGTTATCGCCAGTGGGGATGCTCTTAACTTTAGTACAGTATATGGGCTGGTCACGTTGCCTCGCAAAACAGGTTACTGTAATTCACTTGTGGCTGGCTGGATTGGTAGATTAACCTTTACGTTAGCGTTAGCATTAACGTTAGCGTTACTGCGATAAAAACACAATGATTTGCGCACGATTGAGTACATACCAGACTGCCTAAACGGTCGCTAACGTGAACCTTGAGGGCTCGACAAAAGTGTGAAGAGTAGTTTAGTTGGTTGGCGTGGCCACTGTCTCTGTCTACACAATTAGCGTTCGAAAATGACGATTATTTGGAACGACGTACCACCGTATCACATCCTACGTATAATTTAATACAAATGAATATTCCATTCTTGTCTATTGTATATGGAAGCCAGCAGTTTGTTTAATTTATCAGCGTGGGTTGTCGCCACGACGACACTAAAAGTCAAATTTACGAGACATTTGCAGAAATTTAATAAGCGCTACAGTATGACCATGCCCTTCCCTCACGAAACTCCAAGCGACAAATTCGCATGAAGTGTGGAACATCAAGCGCTACGAGCCCAGCAATGCAAGGAGGATGTCGGCAGCACCTCCTCGCTGTCTTCTTGTCCACTATGTTACTCGTGTGCTGTGGGGACACTATGCCTGCTCATCGCATTGCCCTGTCCTCGCGACTTCCGGTCAGTCCCACCAACGCCACGGCGGCTGGTCGCGTGCAGCTGCAGAACTACGGCAACGTGCAATACGTGGGCGAGTTGTCGTTTGGCAGTCCACCACAGGTGCTCACCGTTGTCTTCGACACTGGAAGCAGCGACACGTGGATTCCTGGCATGTCGTGCACAGAGTGTGGCTTGCACAGCGCGTTTGATTACACCCAATCGTCGACATTCCAAGACACGCACGAAAAGTTTCTCGATTCGGTGAGCGAACGATTCTAATTACATGGCATGGCTCATATGTATCGTGTTAGTATGGCAGCGGCGAGGTCGGCGGCGTCATCGGCGTGGATACGATCGGGTTTGGTCCGTTCGTCGTGCCAAACGTTCGCTTTGGGGTCGTGACAGAGGAGACCGAGTCCCTTGGGGTACAGTACATGTTGCTCTTGGTTTTCATCTGAATCGATCGATTGTGGTAGATGTTTATTGCGGATGGATTGGTGGGTCTTGGCTTTGAAAGCCTGGCAAAGATAAGCCGGCCGACGTTGTTTTCGACATTGGCGGCTCAAAATGTACGACGACGGCCGAGACGTCCAACACATGACGGCACATCTCGGTTGTGTAGGCGGGCGTGAACAACATGTTTGCCATGTACATGACGGCCGAGCCCAACCAAGACGGGTCGGAGCTGCATTTGGGCGGGTACGACTTGAGCATGGTTGGCGACAATGCATCGTGGCACTTTACCCCGACGGTCAAACTGCCAGGTAACAATATATATATATATATATATATAGTGTATTCACTCTTCCCCGTCGTGCAGATTTTGACACGTTTACGTACTGGGCGGTCCAGTACGTCATCCAATCTATATCCATACTCTCTAGTGTCGTCGTCATGATATATTTTATGTTTGGCGATAGAATGAACGGCTTTTCAGTTCGAAACAACTCGGACAACCACTGCGATCCGTTTTGCTATGCAATTGTATGGAGCAGCATAATCTTCATAGTATAGATGATCTGTCTCATCCTATGGCCTTACTAGATCGACACGGGCACATCCTTGATTAGCATCCCCGATACGCAGTACACGGAGATCGTCGAGGCCATCACGGCGGGCTTGGCATGCGATGGCCTCGTGTGTCATGACGTCAGCTTGGCTAGTTTCCCGCCGCTCAAGTTTGGCATGGCGCCAGACAACATCTTCACGCTCGACCCTCGCGATTACATCAACTGCGACACCCGCCACACTTGTCGCATCCAATTCCAAAACTCGGGGTAAGTGTATGATGTCCATCTAGTGTACCTATGATCATCTTGCATAACAGGGACGAGGCGTGGTGGGTGCTCGGAGATGTGTTCATCAAGACGTACTACACGCTCTTTGACGCACAGAACCTCCGTGTGGGCTTTGCCTGCAACGGAGACGTGTGCAAAGGCGGCCGCGGCGGCGTACGCGGCAGCGACGACGACGGCGCGTTCGACATGTGGGAGGACGTGTTCCTGTTTGGGTCCGTGTGTGCCGCGGCGTCGCTGCTGCTGTTTGTGTTTTACATGCACCAGCACCACCTGCCGTCGTTGGAGCCGATGCCAACCCCGCCCCATGGTCGTCCCGACATGGACGCCACTCACGTTGACATCAAGTCGCCTCTTTTGACGATGGAGCAGTTCCGCAACCTCAACACACCGCCCGTGGTCACGTCGTATGCCGAAGCAAGACGAAACTACAGCCAGCTGCCAACCGTCACATCCCCAGCGAAACCACCGGCGGCTGTAAAGATCACTCGTTGATTCACCAGTCGAGAATTCGGGCATCTCATCAAGCAAGGAGAAATCAAAGACCTGAGAGGAAACGGTGCTAACGTTATAGTCCAAAGTTGATAGTATATTTTGCGAAAAAAGTTACTTGCCATTATGTATCTGTACGTACATACCTATAGAAGATTCATAAAACCATATGTACATACAGTAGTAGTATAACAAATACCACGCGTAATACTAACGTGTCCATCGCGACGGGACCAACCATCATGAAAATGTGTAGCGTCATGATAATCTAGTCGTCTTCGTAGTCCGAGCCGGCATCGCCGCAGCTGCTGCTGTCGTCCGCCAAATCGTTGACTTGTTCGATCAAGAGGGCATCGCCACATTCATCGCCAAGGTCTTCGTCATCGTCGTCGTCGCTGCCCGACTCGACGTCGTCGTCCCCCATCGAGTCCATCGTGTCCATGCTGTTAAAGTACGCCATGACCAGAGTCCGTTGCTCGTTACATGCTGCTTTCGCGGCCATGAAGGTGGTCACAGGCGGGTCGGAGGTCATCACAATCCACTTGACCATGTCCAAATGACCATGACGGGCAGCCACAATCAAGATATCTTCGGATACGTTCCACTGCGAACACGACTTCACAAAGTACACAAATAGAGGCAGGTGGCCAGACGCAGCAGCCGACACAAGTGCCTCTGACACATCGCATTCCACCGCACAGGTGGTCACGAGCCACTCGGCCAAGTGTTGTCGACCGGCATCCGCTGCCCAGGTCAACGCATGCGGCGACACGTGGATCTGCCGTTCGTAGTATAGCCATTGTACGACCTCCAGATGGCCATTGCGGCAGGCTCCATCCATGGCCTCGGTCGTACACCCTTCCTTGCGGTGCTCGCTCAACCATTTCACAACGTCCAAATGTCCATTGATTGCCGCACCATCCATCGCTCGCACCGTGCACGGGAAACCCTCGTGGTGCAAGTATTTCACCACTTCCAAATGTCCATTTGTGCTCGCGTCGTCGAAGGCCGACAACGGCTGGTGGCCATTCGATTTGGGCACCAGATATTGCACTACGGCCAAATGTCCATTCGTTGCCGCGCCCACAAGCGCCGTGTCCGGGACGGCCGTGACGCCGCCAAGGCGTATCGCGGTGTGCAGCAACGCCAAATTTCCCCGAGTAGCCGCAAACACTGCTACATCGACGGTTGCGTCCACTCGCGCTGAGTGGTTGTCCACCAAAGCATACATGGACTCGAAAGAGGATGCGTCCAGTTTCCATGCGCAGCTTTCCAACGCATCAACCGACGGGCGGTGTCCGTGCGTCAAGAGAAACTCTACCAAATGCGTGTTGCCATTGCCGACCGCAGCGTCGATCGCACGTGATGACGACGACGCGTGACCATAAGCCACCAAGAACTGGACCACGTCGGCAAAGTTGTTTTGGCTCGCGCGGTCCATCGCGGCCTCGGTACACCCCTCGGTTCGATTCTCGTGCAGGAAACGCACGATTTCCAAATGGCCACGACTCGCCGCGCCGTCCATGGCGTCGTGCGTACACCCTTCGTGCCGATGTGTGTGTAAAAACGTCACAACGTCCAGATGGCCTCGAGTCGCCGCCAAGTCCATCGCGTCAGTGGAACAGCCTTCCGTGCGATGGGTATGCAAAAACTTGACCACTTCCAAATGGCCATTGGCCGCCGCGTCGTCCATGGCGGCCAGCGTGCAGCCGGCGGTGTTGTTCGCATGGAGAAACTCGACAATGGACAAGTATCCTTTGGCAGACGCCACGTTGATAGCCTTGACGGACGCTGTGGCCAGAGGTATCTCGTGCAACAACACCACGGCTTCAAGATGACCGTGGACGGCGGCGGCATCGATCGCGTGGTGCTGGCTGACCACTTCTGGGTGTGCCTGCAAGTTCCGCAGCACCTCCACGCGGTTCTTCGACGCGGCAGTGTCCATGGATACCGGGCCCCAGTTCTTGATGGGAGTTTGCAGCAGGAAGTGCATGACGTGGGCATGGCCGTGATTCGCAGCGGCAGATAGCGCGCGCCACGACCGACTGCCCCGAGAGTACAACCACATAACCACATGGAGGTGTCCACCCGCAGCCGCTGCGTCCATCGCTTTGTCTTCGAATGAATCCTGGCGATGGTTAAAGAGGAAATCAACAATGTTGAGGTGACCATTGGCGGCGGCGGCAATCATGGCCGAGGTGCTGTCACGGTGATAACATTCCAAGAATTTCACGATGGGAAGGAATCCATGCCGAGCCGCCTCGTGTAGAGCATGCGGAGTCTGGCCTCGGTGACGAATGGTGTGCAAGTACTCAAGCGCATCGAGATGGCCGGACCAGGCCGCGTAGTCGAGGAGGAAGTACGGGCATGCCAGGAGCACATTCAACTCCTTGTGCAGGTACTTCAGCAACGGGAGGTCGCCACTGATGGCTGCGTGGAGTGCAACAACGTGTTCGAGATGGGGTAGACAAGAGAGCAAGAGCTTCACTCTGGATGTCTTGTGGTGGGTAAGCCATGGTGCAAGGGCACCTTCAACGGGTTTCCAGGTCTCGACCAAGTCGTGCGAGTCGAAGAAAGGGACCTTCAGACAAGCCAGGTCCCGCATGTCGTAGTACAGTCCTCGTTGGAACGCGGTGATGTGCGTGATCACATTGGGGTTCTGAAACACGTCCATCGCGGCGCGCGGCTTCAACTGGCGCGGCACTTTCATTGCACTCGCAACGTGCAAATGGTGAAATGCTACATACTACAGTATTATATTTCACGGGTTTTTGGGTCCTTCACAGAGTTTGGGTCACTTGAGCGGTGTGACATAGTCTTTTCCATGACGAACCAACGACCTTACGGAATCATCTGAGCCGTCCAGCGTACAATAACATTAGTAGCTTCAATCTGCATGTACTCTAGTTGATCAAAGGGGGCGTGTCGTCTTCTTCATCGGTGCTCACGTCTAAATTGGCGATTTCTTTGGCAATAGCAGCCGCTCTCGCGTCCTCCACGTCTTCGTCAACCAAGTCTACTACTACTACCGGGGCCTGCACCACCGATTTTGTCACGTTCTTCGGCACATCCGTGTTCGTCCTGGCCACTTGCTTTTCCTCGACCGCCGCCGCCGGAGTCGAGATGGCTGCAACAGGAGGCGGCAACACAGGATCGGCGCCCAACGACTTGGCGCGGATGTCGTTCCAGTCGGGCTCTTCGCCTTCTTCGTCGCGGATCAAAAAGTCGACCAGTTTGTAAATTTGCTCACTCACGTCCTCGTCAGCTTCCACCAAGTGGGCATTGCGGATGATGGGGTAGACCTTCTTCTGCCGCAGAATGTTGCGGCCGTTCCGGGACGAACACAGCAGCAACAAGCACTCGACGATGTCCTTGCGCACTTGCGCGTCGGTCTCGCGCTTCTTTTTCGGCCCCAGGACCGCCAAAATGGACGAGGACATGCCAACTTTGTCAGCGTCCTCCAACGGCTCTGGACCCGCGAGGCGCCGTTGCAAGTGCACTACAATGTCCAGCGTGTCGTACAGAAAGAAATGATTGTCGCTGTCAAAGCACAGGTTGCGTAGGGCTTGGATAATTCCGCGGCGGCGAATCACGTTGGCTGAGTGGACTTGAGGTAGCAGCACATGCACCAGCGATTGTACTTGGCCAGGCTGTCCTTGCTTGGTGCGAAGACGCAGGAGAAACGCGCGACCTTCTTCCAGCTGTGTGATGTTCGCGAGGACGTTTGCCACGTATTGGTAGTCGTCGTCCCACTTGGGTTCGTTCGTGGTCGGGTCGATACCGTCAGGTTCCGGCTCACTCTCGAGGAATCGGACCGTCAGGTTTTGCAAGATGACCTCGCGCACGCTGTACTTAGCGTCATTTATCACCAAGGCCTTTGCACCTACAAGGATGATAAGTGAATATTCTGGAGGGAGTCGATGATGATATGCGTATACATACATACCTTCCGGCGTCGTGGTGACGTTCGCAAGCAGCATCACGGAGAGGTCTTTGTGTTGGAAGTCGGAATCCAATTGATTCATCAACCGGTTGACAATGTCGTGCTTTAGAGCATTCTCACACGCTCCATGGTGCGTGGCCGTGATGTTGACCAGCGCATGGATGGCGTCGCGCGCAATTGCGTTCATGTCGCCGATGAGTCGGCATAGCGCCTTCACTGCATCCGCCTTGATGAGCTGCTGAATGCCAGAGTCCGTGCCCGTGAGGCCGACAGTCAGCTGGATCGCAGATTGCCGCACGTCTGCGCGGGGGTTCGATAGGAACTCGACCAACTCCGTCACTTCCTTTGAGACTGACATCGCTCTTTTGCTGCAAAATGAAATGGAATGCCATTCAATGGCGCTCTTAAAATTTGTATACTTTTCGTTCATCCGGTAAAACGACTATCCGGATATATTCTCAATATTGCGCGCGAAGGTGTCATTTTTGAAAACACCCGTCGGTAGCAGAAAGGGCAGGAAAGGAACGACACACTACAGTAGTAGCGATGCGTGCAAGAGGCACCATGCCGCTTGATGTGGCAACTCAAGACGAGCGTATGAGTCGTGAAGCATACGAAGATCAAAAGGTATGGAAGCATGCATGATGGAACTAATCTCGTTTAGCTGAAATGTTTTTCCGAGTGGGAAGGATGGTCAAGACGGCCAAGAAGGTGACGAGTACGATGTGCCCAGAGAACTTGAGGTTGGTGTATGCCTGCATTGACTCGGTCCAACCCAGCGTGAGGAACGGAAGCGATATGTAGTGGATGCTCAACGCATTGAGGAAACCACCGACAACGTCGTAGACGTGCTTCTTGAAACCTTCCGACCCATCATGCTCGAGGAACCACGGCCGCAGTTTCTTGTGTGCAACGCGATTCACGGCAGTGGGGAGGGGCATGAGCATGAAGAATAAATAGTACCCTGGGTAAAAGCCGTGCCACAACGCCGACACGAAGTACGTCGCGACCAACGAGTTGTTCGTGCGGGAGTATATGTACTTTTCCAGCCAGCCTTGGGTGACTTTGTTCCACTTCCTGGTGCTGTCTCGGTGGCACGATGCAAACTCAAACTCCCACACGTTCATGTACTGGACGCCATTCCATCGGTGCTTTCCGTCCAGGACACCTTCATAGCCAAACCCGCACAAGACCGTGGCACCTTCAGCGACCGTCCAGCAGCCGTAAAAGCGGCACTTGAAGAGGAAAAACGCAAAGTACAGTGTCGGGATCTGTTTGTACCAAGGCAACGCTGCCACGGCATCGTCGAAGAACATGGTGGTGGGATATTGCATCCCAAATGCTGCCGTCAATCCGACGTAAAAAAGGCCGATGGATAACTTTGTGACGCCCGCCCGAACCCGACCGGGGCCAACGACCTTAGTACCATTGATAACGTCGATGTACTCGCGGAACTCGAAGGACGGCCCCGCCAAAAACGTTGAGAAACAGAATGCGAACGAGAAATACTCAAGGAGCGATGGAACGGACGTCACAGCCAGGGCTTTTCGCGACGCAAATACCCGCGCGAGGTTTTTGTTGTCCGTGGGCGAGTCGAAGCGCCGGCCGTCGACGACACCATCGTGAATGTTGTACGCAAACGCCGTGAGTTTCATACAAACGATCATTTGGGCGCCAGAGATTTCCAACGTCACGCCCATGTAATCGACGTACATTCGATAAAGGTGGGAAAACGATAGGTACACCAAATTCCAGACCAGGGAGATCGCGCCGACATGCCGTCGAGGAGCCACCAACACGAGGACGTATGAACCCGCGGTCATGATGAGAGGGTGGACCCACGTCGATCCAAACACGAACTGTGCGATGGCGACACCCAAACCCAAGCTGACAAGGTGCTTGATGGTTGGCGATGAAATCAATGGAAACAGGGTTGCAAAGGGATACGCCCCAAATAGGCACACGGTGTAGCGCAACACATCAGGCGGCGGCGTCGAGGGCGACACAATGCCATCGATGAAAGCATTCAACGCCTCGAATTTGAGGGGAGTTATGAGGTCACACACGATGGCGAACTGCGCCAGGGTAGGTGCAGCGACGGCATGGACGGTTTGTGCTGTGTGGAGCACGATACTTGTCATGCCAACAAGTCACTTTGCCAAATTGCTGGTTTAGCCTAAGATCAGATTTTAAGCAGTCTAATTGGCTGAAATATTATTGTATTTTTAGAGCGATACTCCAGAGTCTTACTGTTGTATTGTGGTGCACGTCATCTAAAAACTTACCCCTATGGCCAAATATCCAAGCGCCCATGTAATATACACCTAGGTTAACTGTAAATATCTATTTCTGGACCAATTCATATTCCATGTCCGAAACTGAGACGTATCCGGACAAAATATTTTCGCAATCCAAAAAATGTCGATCAATACTTTTTCGTTTTTTATGAAAATGAGTCCCAGACATGAACGGACTACCAGGCGTCGATGGACCATCCACGCCTCAAAACTCGCATCCATGTCTGAGTTATTCCGGAAGCGTGAATGATTGTGTTATCCGGATAATTTGGGTACTAACCAATCAAAATCTCGGAATATCTTGAAACATGGACAGAAATATTCCGCGACCAGCCCCTTACAGAGAACCAACTCACCCGGGTATGCATGTCCTTATATATGGAGCGACAAAATGTAAAATTAAAAAACACTAAACCCAGTGCCCTTCAATGATTGGACAAAAACAATTGTAACGTTACAGACTGACATGTCGCGAATCAGACCAAATCAACGATCGATTCAGGAGGGGGTTTACCTCGACAACCCTCCAACAGCGCACGAGAGAACCAACAACATATTACACAAGACGTCGATGGATGAACTGTATTCACATAAAACACAATTAAACTACTACTATCTCAGGTCGTGGAATAGCCTTTTCAAAGGACCGCTTTACGGCAACTTCCGAAATCATGCCCCAGGCCTTGATCGATCGCTTGATCATGGCCATGCGCTTCTCGGATGCCGACACCACCGGCGCTTCTTCTAGC